CCTTTTGGGGTCCCTGTTATAATACGGCACCTATCTAGGGTACCCAAAAAGGGGCCTTAATTTTGACAACTACGCATGTGTATGATGCGCACAAGCTTCCAGATCCCAGATCCAAGACTTTATGTTTAGGTAGGTGTTTAAGTTAAAGGTTGAGGGTGCAAGGTTTTACGGCTTTGGGGTTCATCTTCACGGAGCCACATCATTGAGCCACCAGTTAGGCTAAAACACAAGCACCCCAAACCCAAACCCAAGCGATCCCCATTGCCCTCTTGAAAGCATCAGAACCGATAGACTAAAAAAGATTCAGCTTTATGCATCTGTGGTTTAGGGTTGGGGGTTTAGGGGGGTTTTGAGGAGTAGCAATCGTAAGAGTGAAGAGGGTTCCCAGAGGTCGGCGTGAAACTGGAGCCCTTGCCAGCACGCGTGGATTGTATAGTACGGCACCGAATATTTAGGGTACCCAAAAAGGGACCCTAATTTTGACAACTGCCCACATGAGGGTGGCATGGGAAGAGCTGCTGCAACAAGTCGCAAGTCCCCCTGCGACACGTTATTTACAGGACCCCAAGTCCGGGTAAAAGGTCTACCGTATAACTTAGGGGCCTTAATAATTCGAATAGGGTTTGGGCGTATATTGTACCAAAATCATAACAAGGAACCCCCTAAGCCCTATTCTAATTTTTAGGGGCCCCTACATTACCGTATACATGCCCAGATGCCCATCTGACTCCCGCAAAAACCACGACTGGCCAAGAAGGAGGGTCTGGAGCATAGGCCCTTAGTAGTTCCTTTTTGTGGCTCATATATAAAGCCCTATAGCATGATCCCAAAACGGAACTACGATGGGGCCTCTGGGTAGTCAGAAGTCAGAAGAAGAGTGGATTCACGTTGTAAGGTGCTTGCCAGGTTCCACACGGCGACAACCTAAACCTAAAAGCAAGTTCCGAATTTCTTAGGTCCTTCGGACCGTTGATAGCCCCAGTACCAATATACTATACGTATAGTCTCCATTGGTTCCTTTTTCTGGTTCAACCCGATATATAGTTAGGATCCCATAAGGTACCCCCACAAAGGAACTACAATGGAGACTCTGGATAACATCCTAAGCCCTCAACCTCAAGCAGCAGGGAGGAGAGGGTTTAGTGTTTAGGTTTTCGGTTTTACGGTTTAGGGTTTAAGGGTTTAGGGTTGAGGGTCTCAGAGTACAGTCTTGGGGACCAAAATGACCAGATGACCCTTACAAGTAAGGGCCCGATACGCTTATACAATGAATCCCTATATTCTTTAAGGGTACCTTAAGGGTATTATAATGAGGGTTCGTTAAGGTAATTTGATGTATGAACATTAAACCCTTTTAGGGTTCATTTCGTCCTTAAGGACTAGCCGAAGTTCTTCCCTTAACCCTAAATTAAGGTACAAACCTTAAATCATAAAGGTATCCCATATATAAGTTAAAGTATATTCCTGAATTCAGGAGGACCTGAAGTTCTGCTGTGTCAAAGACAAACCAGTCCAGCCTAGTTAGGAGCCGACTCGAGCAGGCACACAAAGAAGGCCCGTCATCCTAACTTCAAAAAAAAAGAAGTTCTTCCCTTTCCAGGCCGAAACGGTGCATCCTGCGGTAATTCCCAGTGTGGGAACCCTACGTTCCAGTATATAGTCACTATAGAACCCTTGCGGATCCCTTAAAGGCATCCTTATGGTACCCTTAAGGGTACCCTATTTGAGTACTTAGGACCCTTTCCCATGACGAGGCTGCTCTCTGCTGGGCGGCTGCTTCGGGACGCCGAGGTCCTCGGTGAGGCTGCTGCCAGAGGAGACGATGGCAGGCGCAGATTAGGGTTTAGGGCCCAGGGCTTTTCGGGTTTAGCGTTTTGGGGTAGCAGAGTTTTTGGCTTTGAGGGCTTGGGGTTGTGAAGATTTATGTCTTTGCGAGCCTTGGGTTGAGATTTTTAACTCGGGGTTTGAATATACTGTGTATGCCTTGAGCCACAACCATGCAGATCCGGCAACGGTGCTGGCAGAAAGAGAGGCCATGCTAGCGACCATCGAATGCTGGGGATCTGTACGACAGAACCCCTTTGCAAAAGAAACTGTTTTAGGGTTTACTTCAACCCAAAACAAAGTACCTATTTAAGGACTTACATAAGGAAGTCATACTAGGGAGCCCGAAAAAAGGTAGGTTATTCAGGGTTCGGTAGGGTGTAGGAAGTTCGGGGTTTAGGGCCCTGATGTCTCAGAACTTGCGCCATGAGACTCCTACTAGCTATCCCTAGGCACTAGAATGGAGCCTACTAGCTATACCATGAAAGGTGAAGTTGGGTTTCGAAGTTGGTTCTGGACTGAAAACGAAGGCTTTTCGGAAGTCCAGACACCAGGCTAATCCAAGAAACCCCTGAACCCCATAAGCAGAAGCCCGAAGAAAATCCAAGGATGCACACGCAGAATTGGGTATCCATACAAATGCCGAAGATCTTCGGGTCTAGCATAACAAACCTAGAGGCTCCAAATATAGTACCATTATGGAACTAGGTCTCCAAAGCCATGATATGGATGGTCTTTTGAGACCTAATTCCATAATGGTACTATATATGGAGCCTCTGGGAAAGGAAGCAATCTTTCCGCCTTGTCATGACGAAGGTTCATTGATACAAAGCCCTTCTCACGCTATTCTAAACTAGTATCTCTCGGTACACCCTTATGATATATGTGTCATGCTCTTCTTAGATGAAGTGTCGCCCCTAAACTCCTAAACCCTCCACCCTAAACCCTAAACCCACCTCTACCTTCCTTAGAGGTTCCCGATCCCACCCGACAGACGGAAAAAAAACGGTCAACGAAAAAAATCTCCAGCCTAGGGCCCTCATCGACATCGTCCGCTGTGAGCCTCAGCCGCTGCTTGCGCCGCCACCGGCGGCTCCGCCCGGGCCCTGAGGACCCTACTTGGAGGATCATGGGACTTCGCATATAAGTAAGGGTTCCTTACATAAAGGCTCCTCAAATAAGGGTTCCTTGAATAAGGGTTCCTTCAATTAGGGCTCCTTAAAGGCATCTACAAGGTATAGAGTTTAGGGTCTACTTGGAGGATCATGAGACTTCGTATATAAGTAAGGGTTCCTTACATAAGGGCTCCGGAAATACGGATTAATAAGGGTTCCTTCAACTAGGGCTCGTTGAAGGGATCTATACGGTATAGGGTTTAGGGTCTACTAGGTCCCATGATCCTCTAACTAAGCGTCGCAGGGTTTGGGGTTCATGATCAGGGTTTAGGGTTTTAGTGTTTAGGGTTTTAGTGTTTTAGGGTTTGGGGTAATAGGGTTTGGGGCTTGAGCTCTGAACCCGCAATCAATCCTGAAACCAAATTTAAGAGGCGACGGGGATCAGGGTTTAGCCTTCTTGGCTCTGGGGCACCTCTTCACCCATAGGTCCCATAGTAGTTCCTTTTTGTGGTTCATATACAAAACCCTATAAGGTAATCCCAAACAGGAACTACTGTGGGGCCTGTGTACCGGGCTACAGCTTGAGTTCTGGAAATTTAACGTTCTAAAGTGTTCTGAGGGTGTATGTTAGGCTGTTATATTCGGGAGGACGGCGGCAGGTAACGTGGGAACCCGATTAAAAGAACCCTGGTCCTATAACCTCATTACACCAGGGTCCGCATTCAGAGCTCTGAAGATCCAAGATTTCTTGATCCGGTTCCTACTCTAAGCCATTCCGAGGCCGGTCACCGTCGCACATTTTTCGGCACCATACGTAAAGGCCCATGGGACTTAGTAAGTAAGGTGATAAGTAGGATATAATTAGGCTAACCCCGCTTAGGGGACTTATAACCCCAATTCTAACCTACTTACTAAGTCCCACGATCCTCTAAGTAACGTCATAATTTGGAAGGCTGATGCTCGTCCCCCAAGGGATCCTTAAGTACTTGTATCGGGGATACATTCCCAACTCATAATCATCTTAGGAGGCTAAAAGTTTAACTTTTAGGAGGGGTTCAGAAGTCATCCAAATCATGATTCCTTTCATACACAAACCCTACGTTCTACGATGGGTCTCTAGAGACTCTGCGCTGAAGACCGGGGCGCGGGTCTGTCTTAGGAAGGTATTATTCCTTGGGTTTAAGAGGATCTTATTTGCAAGTTTTCTCAGAGGGTTTAAGGGGCCAACCTGATTTCTTGACCCTGAAGTCCAAAGTAGAGCCTGTGCTGTTCCGGCGGTTCCTGCCTGCATTGCGCCTTCATACTCGGCATCCGTTTGTCACATGGTTTTCAGGATACTGCGATTTGTGCGTCTGTATGACAAGTTTGTTCGGTCAGGTTCGCAGATATTACCTTTCTGGCGGAAAGGGGCCGTCAGGAAATACTAGCTTGTGTCATCATGGATCGGGACAAGGTTTGATGTGGCCGTCATCTTGGCTGTAGAGCAGCCCATCAAAATCAGCATCGTTGTTATGGGCATACTTGGAGGATCATGGGACCCATATAAGTACCTTAATTGGAGTTACAAGAGATTATCTCTGTTACCTTATTTATAACCCAAGTTACAAAGTCTCATGATCAAGTAGTAGCGGATGCCGAACACCGGCCCAAACTGCCCGTCGCCTCCATCCACCACTCCGGTGGCCATTTCCTTGCCCAAATGAAAGAGCCGTAGCCTGTCACTGGCAGTGCCATAGCATGGCTTTAGGGTTTAGGGGTTTAGGGTTTAGGGTGAGGGTTTCGGGGTCTATATCAATACATTAGCTACATTAAGTAAGGAGCCCCAGTCTGATGATCTGATGGGAAAACCCTGATGCGCCCAAGTCTGCATAGGTCAAGCGGTAGATCTGGTGCCAGTCCATGACTGGGATCCTATAATACAGAAGGGAGAAAACAAGCAACTCGTGCCCGAAAGCTTGAGCCAATAAGGAACTGAATCCCAGCGCGGAAAGACAATGAAACACATAGGAACAAGAGGGCTTTCTTCACGGCGATTTCCGGTAAACTCTACATCAGGTTTGCATGAGAAATCTACAGCTTGGCATCCTGTATGGGTGTCGCTGGATTTACAAACAAACCCAAAGAGGCTTGGCCAGACGTTCTTACCCCATGAACAAGCCACTGACGTTGCTACTCTGGGCCGTTCTTTTGCTGGAACTGCTGGCTCGCGCCATCCCTTTTCCCAAAGCGGACTTTGTCCTCAAGCCTCTGCTCATGCCCATCTTAGCCGGTGCATTTCTGCTGGGAAGCCCCAAGCACGGTCAGCGCATATTGGTCACGGCTGCGCTCTTCTTCTCATGGCTGGGGGACGTCTTTTTGCTGTTTGAGGGGTATTTTGTCTTTGGCTTGGCAAGCTTTCTCGTCGCACACGTCATATATGTGGTGATATTCCAGAAAGAACGAGGCACACTGCTGCTCAGGCGCCCTTGGATAGCTGTCCCATTTCTGCTGATGACGTTGGCCTTTTATTGGTTTGCACGGCGGGGGCTTGGAAGCATGACCGTGCCTGTGCTTGGTTATATCACCGTGATCTGCACGATGGCACTCGCAGCCATCAACCGCCATGGTACTGCGACACAGCAAAGCTTTCAATGGACGGTGGCGGGGGCACTGTTCCTTAGATCCCCAATACCTAGCCTGTAAACTTTTTGGGGCTTTTATAGTTTAGTAGGAATGGGAAAGTGTAACCTTTTGTTTCTGTGGCTAATTGGGGTGGTAAGGTTCTTTATGAGCAGTGACCTGATGATCGGGATTGACAAGTTCATCACAGGCATCCCCATGGCAGATGTGTGGATCATGCTGACGTACGTGATCGGTCAATACGCCATCGTCAAGGGCATCAGTGAAGCTTAGCGCACTTCTCCAGGTTTGACAGCGACCATGCCTCTGGCATGATGCTAGAGGCAAAAGCATCAAAGCAGATCAAGCAACACCCTAAAAGCCCGCCACCGTACGGAAGCCCGCCACCGTACGGGCTCCAAACGCGGGCTTCTTAGCACAATGAACCCAGTCTACGGTTTGCCGGCTGGGATTTATACTAGTTAATATAGGGGCCTTAAGCAAATACCCATACTATCGTGGGGGTTCCTTAGTATAATTATAGTATATATAATGGGCCCCAAAACCCTCAGGCACTTATATTACCGGCTCCACTACAGGCTTCTTGGCTGTCCTAACACAATGAACCCAGTCTACCGTTTGCCGGTTGCGATTTACACTATTTAATATAGGGGTCTTAATAATTGCCCATGCTATTGTGGGGGTTCCTTATTATTTTGATATTTAGTATGCTGGGCCCCAAAACCTATTCTAATTGTTCAAGGCCCGTATATTAGAGAACCCTACTATAGATCCCCTACAGATCCGTTTAAAGGACCCCTTAAAGGAGCCCTATCCTATATTATTGGGTTTAGGGCTTGGCGTCAAGGTCAAACCTGAGCCTCCACGCGCGCTGCGCCCTCACAGGCAGGAACCAGATGTGGTTAGCTCTCTAGACGACCCAAAGAGATATCCCTTAACCAAGGGAATAGAGCTTAAATCATAATATGATGCCCCCTTATAATTTAAGGTATATTGCTTAGTTAAGGGATATAAGGCTCTCTAGACTACCGTTGATGATATAAAGCCTGGGTTCCTTTAAAGGGATCTATAAGGGTACCTTTAAGGCGTTCCGGTAAGGGATCTATAGGCGGTTTAGGGTTTAGGGTTGATGGTATAAATCCTGCATTACCCATAATACAAAGGAATACAATAACTCCTATAGTCTAGGGTAGTGAAGGTAATGCTCATTATATCATCATCAGTAGTTTCTCTGTCGGCGTATCGCAAAGAGGTACGATACACTCATACGTATACTAAGGGGCACTGAAGGAGACCCTGTAGCAGTTGAGTGCTATTCGTGGATTTTTGTGGAGTTCGGAGAAGTTTTGACGTCGAAAATCTCACAGTCCGGGTTCGTCACGGTCTAGCTTTTAGATGCTCAAGGACACCCTAATCTCGGCTTCTGGATCAGGAGGCCGGCAGTTGAGGCTGGAAAAGGTTTCTGTGGCCAAACCACAAGATGCAATAGTCAGCAGAGGGACCAGGAGTTAAATCTGCAAAAAGCAGCAACGGCGAGTTGTCTGCTCAGCCGTTACTCCAAGATCCTCGACTTCTCCAAACCCTAAACCCTGAACCGTCCTTGAGGATTTTCCTTCCCTAAACCCAAACCTTCCCTGCAGTCTCAGTTGCAGTTCCTTGGTGTAGCTAATAACCATTCTTATGGTTAGGATCGTTTTCTCGAAAACAGCAGATGGCGGTTTAGGATCTAGGGCTTAGGGAGGATCAAGCGAGACCATGGGTACGCTATGTAGCTATAGCATAGTACACAAAGAGCTGTTCAACGAGTTCAGGCCCACATACTCCTCCAAGCCCCCAGCCTAAGTTCAACCCTAAGCGCTCAAACCTAAACCGATCTGGGCAGACATTCAAAAGGAGCCAAAAAAAGTCTTAACTCTCGAATTTGTACATGATGCTAGGAGAGCAGCTGGGTGAGATCCGCCTTTGGCCTTTGGATAACGTCGCTGCGCTGCGGCAGCATGTGGCCCGCCTCTTCCCAGACCAGGTGGAGAATCGGATGGGTTTACGGCTTAGGGTTAAGATTTTGGGGTTCAGGGTTTGGGGCTAGGGTTTCAAGTAGGGTTGAGGGTCGAAGGCTTATGTGTTTAATAGGCGTTGTTCAGTTAGGAGTTTAGGGGTGGGGGTTACGGTGTGGAATTTAGGGTTCAGGGCTTGGGGTGGAGGTGCGCGGCTGGGGTTCTACTTCCGGAATTTGAGCTCGGGATGGCAATGAGCAAGTCTTACTGTGTGGCTCTGACCATGCTGGCAGACCACTGCGAAGTCGCCGGCGGGAATGTATTCATGTAGATTTACTCTTAACTTAGCCAAGTCTCTTCCTTGTTTGCCTCCTGCTTTTCTCTCTCTTTCTCTCTCTCTCTCTGTCTTTGTCTTCCTTCTATCTTCTACAATCGAGCCACTCCAGTCCCCTCCTTTAAGTCCCCTCCGTATGGTCTTTTGTCTGAGTCCTTGGGCTGTGACATGCCTGGCCGTGATGACAGGCTGAGGGTCCTCTACAGCTCCTTGCTGGTGCATCTCGGTAGATTCTTCGGGTTACTATAGTTAGAAGGGGTTCTGTAAGGGTGACTAATAAGTTAAGGGTTTTATAGGGGCCTTGAGAAAAAACCAGGCTTAACGGGCACATTATATTACAGCAATGGGGACGCTACGGAATTGCATCAGCTTTTCATGCAGGCCTCATGCATTCTGCCTGCTTCGACAGGGGAGTGTGCTTTATAGACCCTTGAGGCGTTTAAGTTGAAATTGGGCTCAGTGTTGTACAGGGTGGTAGCTTGAAGCATGGTCTGTGGCACAATCGCCAATCCAGACCCACCCCGCGACACCACACCCTAAACCCTTAATACCAATGGACCCCGAAAAACCCAAAGCCCCACCAACATACGCCTTCGAATTCACAGACCCGCCAGCCGTTGCAGTTGTTGTTCTCTTGATGTTTTTCGTTTTACAGCTCTAAACCCATAAACCCTATACCGTGTTTCTTCTCTTGTTCTTCCGTTGTTGTTACAGTTCTCTTATATTCTCTCCCGAAGGGTCCCAGGTATTGTTATGGGGGATTCTCAGATCAGAATAAGGACAATAAGGATTCCTTATATAGCAATAGAAACCCTGCATTCTACTACATAGTAGGTACCCTGGACCCTTTGGGTCTTGCCCTAAACCCTAAACCGTGAACCGTGTTAGTTCTCTTGTTCTTATGTTGTGTGTACAGTTCTGTTATGTTCTCTTCCCTTAAGCAATAAGCACCAAACCCTAACCCCTAAACCCTTAAACCCCAAACCCCTAAACCCCTAAACCCCTAAACCCTCACCCCCGAAACCCCTAACCCTAAACCCCGAAACCCCAAACCCTAAACCCCGAAACCCCAAACTCTAAACCCCCAAACCCCTAAGCCTTAAACACTGCAAACCCTACAAGCCCTACAAACCCTATAAACCCTACAAGCCCTACAAACCCTACTTAGAGGATCATGGGGCTTAGTAAGCAGGTTATAATTGGGGTTATAAGTCTTGATTCTATCCTACTTATAACCTCACTTACGAAGTCCCATGAGCCTTTCAGTAGACCCTAAACCCTAAACCCCCATAGATCCCTTTAAGGATCCCTATAGATCCCTTTAAGGAGCCCTTTAAGAACCCTTACTAAGTCCCATGAGCCTTTAAGTCATCTAAACCTTAAACCCCGAAATCCCAAACCGTAAACCCCTAAACCCCTAAACCCCTAAGCCTTAAACCCTACAAACCCTACAAACCCTATAAACCCTACAAACCCTACAAACCCTACAAACCCCACAAACCCCACAAACCCTACAAACCCTACAAACACTACAAACCCTACAAACCCTACAAACCCCACAAACCCTACAAACCCCACAAACCCTACAAGCCCTACAAACCCTATAAACCCTACAAGCCCTACAAACCCTACAAACCCTACAAGCCCTACAAACCCTATAAACCCTACAAACCCTACAAACCCTACAAGCCCTACAAACCCTATAAACCCTACAAGCCCTACAAACCCTATAATACCCTACAAACCCTACAAGCCCTACAAACCCTATAAACCCTACAAACCCTACAAACCCTACAAGCCCTACAAACCCTATAAACCCTACAAGCCCTACAAACCCTATAAACCCTACAAACCCTACAAGCCCTACAAACCCTATAAACCCTACAAACCCTACAAGCCCTACAAACCCTCAAAACCCTACAAACCCTACAAGCCCTACAAACCCTCAAAACCCTACAAACCCTAAACCCTACAAACCCCACAAACCCTACAAACCCCACAAACCCTACAAACATAGGGGCTTAGTGAGTAGGTTATAATTGGGGTTATAAGTCCCCCAAGTGGGGTTATCCTGATTATATCCTACTTATAACCTTACTTACTAAGTCCCATGAGCCTTTAAGTAATCTAAGGAGACCTGCCCTAAAGCCCTAAACCCCCAAGCCCTAAGCCCTAAGCCCTAAACCCCTAAACTCCTAAACCCTAAACCCTACAAACCCTGTAAACTCTGATCTAAGGAGACCTGCCTGGCCGGGCCCTTGAGTCTCGCGAGCGCCGGCGTGAGGCTCCGAGCAACGGAGTCTTAGGGGTTTTGAGTCTTAGGGGTTTTGAGGGTTTCGGGGGTTTCGGGGGTTTCGGGGGTTTTGAGGGGTTTAGGGTTTAAGTAGGTTTAAGTAGGTTTTAGTAGGTTTTGAGGGTTTTGAGGGTTTTGAGGGGTTTAGGGTTTAAGTAGGTTTTAGTAGGTTTTACTAGGTTTTGAGGGTTTGGTGGTTTCGGGTTTAGGGTGTAAGTGCTTTGGTTTAGGGTTTTGAGGGTTGTCGTCGAGAGTTTGTGGGTTTGTGGGGTCTAGGCGAAGCAAGTCATCCAATCACAGGATTTTGTCACAGATGGTTTAGAAGGGGCCCCCACCCTGTAATAGTGGTATAATCGGAATATAATAGGGCCCTAATATAATCCTATATAACCCTTGTAGTCACTATTACAGGGTGGGGGCAGCTCCTAACAGATGGTTGGGGTTGGGGTTTGGGGTCTGTGGAGTCCCAGGTTTTGGAGTTGAGGCTTCCCGCAAAAAAGCAACCGCCTAGTTTGGCGGTGTCTTTTAGCCTTTTGGGATGTATGGAATGGGGGATTTCTGTAAGACTCTGTCAGCCTCCTTGAAGACTGACGACAGAGGGTGAGGTATTCCTTGTTTGGCCCTGTTTGGGATTCAATACTCTAAATTAAGG